CTGGGGTCCCGCCCCAGCACCCGCTCCCCGAGCCTGGGGGGAAGGGCCCCACTCTGCCAGCCTCGCCCACAGCTCCGGACCATCTCTGGCCTCGCGGGACCCACCCTGTAGCCAGAGAGCTTTCAGCCAAACCCATCCAGGCACAAGCCACAGGGTTCCTGCCACAGCCTCCCAGCCACTCCCCCTCCTCCCTCCCACCCTGCACTCCCCCGGCTAGGTCCTCCTGGGTCAGGTCGAGGGCCTTCCTCACTAAGCGTCGATGGCTCCCGGCTGCAGGAGGGAGGCACACAGCTCTTCGCGGAGCACTCACTCACCCCTCTGCCTCATTAACAGAAGGCTGAAATACCAGAGACATTTAACGTCTAAAGGGTCTCACAGCGAGTGATCATGACACAAATCAAAAAGGTTCAACTCGCAGCTCTAGGCGGGCCCCTTCACCTCCCCCCCCGCCACACACACACACACACACACACACACACACACACACACACGTATCGCCGGTCACTTCCGCTCTCTTCCCCGTGTCCCGTTAACCCCTAACGGCTGCACACCTGCGTCAAGGTGGCAGCTCTGTCACAACTCACCTCCTACGGCCCCAGACACCTGTCCACACTTTCCTGCAGTGGAAACCTGTTCTGGGGCTGCCCTCGCACAGCGTCCGGCTCTTGGTGACACTCGGCCTCAGCCACGCCCGGGGCAGCGGTGTGAGTGCCGTGCGAACCACATCTGTGGCGACTCGCCCGCCGCTGCTTTCTGAGAGCTCACAGGAGGCCACAAGGATAAACAGCGTTCTCTGCAAGGATTTTAAACATTTTCTATAATAACAAAAGCACAACACGCAAATCGACCGAATGACCGTGTGGACCGGACGACCACGCTGACACACACTGGCACCAGGCCAGCCAAGGCGGGTGTGATTCGATTGGTCGGGGGCCCGCCATCGCCCCGATTGCCATGCAGAGGGAGGCCCAGGCCACCGGCCAGCGGGGTGATCGATCAGGAGGAGGGGGGTCCTCCATGATCGCCCCAAAGAGGGAGGCCCAGGCCACCACTGATCCTGAAGCCCTGGCCGGGTGGGCGGAGCCTCCCTCTGCTGGGCAATTGATCACAGAGCCCAGAGCCCGATCATCACAGAGCCCGGTGATCGACTGCCCCAAAGAGGGAGGCCCAGGCCTGTCAAGCAATCGCACTCACACCTGTTGCCTGCAGAGGGAGGTGACCAGTGGGGGGGGGGGGGGGGGGCAGAAACGCACAGAAGTCAAGCAGTGGCAGTGGCAGCGGGAGGGGCAGGGGGGGGCCCGCTGCACGGAAGGGGGGAAGGAAAACCCTGAAAAGCCCTGATCGCTGGCCAGGCCGAGGGGCCCTACCCAAGGGGTCCTGGATGGCGAGAGGGCGCAGCCGGGGCTGAGGGACACTCCCCCTCACCCCCTGAATGGTTTCCGTGCGCTCACTGGGCCTTTAGTTTATAGCAGCATCAGAAAGCAGCCCCTCCCCCCCTCCCCTCTCCTTTACAGACACAAAGTCCTACAAGCTGACAAAACCTTAACGAAACGGGAAACAATCTAACTTCAGCCGGCAAGCACGCTCCGCAGGACCAGGTGGAATCAGGTGCCATGACTTTCTGAAGACAGAGGCATCTTTAAGAGAACAACCACGCGGTGTGGCCGGGCTGTGCTTTCTTAACTCCGAATCTGCCCATCTGTCCCCTCTTAGCAACTAGGTCAGGTGGACTAGGATGGCGGCAACATTCACGTTCACAGACAGAGCCCTCGATGAACCAGTCAGGCAAAGAAAAAAATGAATTTTTACTACCTTTCTTCAATTTTCTCTCTCTCTTTACGAAGCGAGGATATTTCTGGTAGTAGTTTAAAGCTGTGGAAAGACTTTATTATATTTTATTACAGAATTAGAAAATTTCAAAAATAATTGTTTGGAACCACAGTTAAAAAGAAACGTAATACCCCCATAAAAAAGCATTCTGGCACCTGTTAGAATTTCCCCTCAAGTTATGAAATGCAGCTTTCCAACGATTGTTATAACAGCCGTGACTATAATTTCAGCGGAATACTCATAATTTTTCTTCTGAACATATGATCATGACTCATTTTTTCTTTAATAGCTCTGTCATTTCAGGAACTACCTGCAAATTAAGAAAAAGAGTCATTAGGCCACTTGAGGCCACTGTGCCTGGTCACCACTCCTCAGGAAGCCCTCGGAGGCCACAGGAAGTGTGAAGCCCTCCTGTGCCCACGTGCCCCCCTCCCTCCTCCAGCCTCTCCTCCCGCCGCGGAGAGACCCTGACACAGGGCTGCAGGGCCAAGAGCCCACTCACTGCCGAGGAGCTTTCTGACAAATCACAACCCTCAGGCCCCGCACAAAACACAAGCCCAGCGTCTCCCGTCTGTGCCGAGTACCAGCTCCCGGCATCCTCGCCCCCCCACTGCACGCCTGCCTTCCCTTCAAAGGCCACACGAAGTCTCGCTCAGTCATGCCTCTGCCAACCTCCTCGACCTTTTCTCCTGTCTGTCCATTTGCTCACCGTTCATCTCACAAGCAGTGCCGTGCTCCCAGGCTCACAGACACGAGCCGCACGCTGACCACTGAACCATCACTATCAGCACCGAGGCCTCCTGCCACCACAGTGCTGGCCCACGGGACAGTGAGGGGACAGTGAGGGGACAGGGAGGGGCAGGCCCAGGCTGAGGGTTATTTACTGACCCTGAGTCTTCCCAGTCCAGTGGCTGCACCGGGACTTTCAGTGTGGAGCTGCCCGTGTGGGACCTGCAGGGGGATGGAGCGCAGCCGCCGGAGCAGCCACCGGAGCGCTAGCTGAGCCGCGGGTGTGACTATCCTCACCCAGGCTGCCAAGGGACAGCTGCACCCCTGGTGAGTGAGCCTCTCAATTATTTAGCAGAGCTACTCCCATTAGGTGGGAACAATGTGCTCGTACAAATTCATTACAGAGACTGTCGACACGTTTCCCCTGAGCGTGGCTCTGTCTGCGGCCCATGGAAAGGCCCTGTTCCCGCGGAGCTGGCACCCCCCTCCCACGCTCCTCAGGGGATGGGCCGAGAGCGCGTGTGCTGTGCCTGGGAGTGTAAGGTTGACCGAACAAAAAAAGACATAGATGGTGGAGGGAGAGAAACCCCCTCAACCCTTTTTGGGGCAGGAGGACCTTCTGTAAGGTTTTTAAAAACTGTGTGTTCTAAACCAAATTCATGTTTCCTTTAGAAAAAGTTGAGCTCTAGCCTGTTTTTCATGAAAAATTTAGTCCAAAAAAAGGTGTGTTTTTTTAACACAGCTATTGAGTTATTTTCTATAAGATCTTAATCCAAAATAGATAATACTAATTTTCATTCACAATGTATGAGATTTTTTTTTAAATGTCGTTATTCCTTTAACTATTTGATTTTTAAAAGACAGAGTGTGGCCCCAGTGAATACGTTCTCTAAACCACCATGTCCACTCCTGTCAGAACAACTGTAATCACCACCGATGTGACCCTCACTCTGATTTCAGCTGAGGACGCAATGTGACCGGCACGTCCAAGGTGTGGTCCTTTCATGTGAGATGCCCTGGTGCTGCCCTCCCGCCTGCAGCCCCTGGTGAGCCAGGAAGGCGGTGATGAAAGGACGGAATCAGGAGCCGGCAGTAGTTGTGTTAACAACTTGCTGAGTAATTTCCCCAAATCACAACGCTCGGGGACACAGACAAGTGAAGGAGAATGCATTTCGCTTGTAGAGACAAACGGGAAGGGCCTCTGAGGGGAAGGTGCCCGTGCTGACCCAGAGCAGCGGCCCCGCTCCATCCCCGCACCGCGTCCGGGGCATCACTGAGCAGCGGCCCCGCTCCATCCCCGCACCCCGTCCTGGGGCGTTACCGAGCAGGCAGCGCAGCGCGGGGTCATGCACTTCGGAGTAGAGGCACTCAGCGCGTCCGGAGCACACAGCGCTGGCAAAGCCCAGGCAGGAGCCAACCTCTTGCTGGACGGACCACCCGGCTCTGTCCTCGGCTGCAGGCTCTCCATGAGGCCCACGCAGCTCCCTGCGTGAGGGGTTCCTACTCCTGCAAACCCACGTCTCCCAGGGCTGGATACTACTTCCAGAGCCTCTATTCCTGCACGAGTGATCGCTGCACAAGGTGACCTAGAAGCCTGTAGGCAGGCCCTGAGGTACCAAGAGGCCAGGCCACGCAAACTGTAACCTTTACACGTGGCCAAGTGAGAACCAGGTGCTCCTCAACACCTGCGTCATTCTCTCACGCGGAGGATAACATGGGAGGCAGCAGCCGAGGAGAAAGAACACGCGAAAAATGAAGAGTGTGCCAGTGGGAGTCGTGTTCCCTCCACACTCGTCACGTCAGGAGGGACGGCTTGAACTCAGCGCAGCTCGCAGAGCGCACTTGTTGGGACAGAAGCGGGACCTGAGAGCCCCCTCTCCCCGAGAAGGGGGACCTGAGCGCCCACTCCCCCCGAGAAGCCCTGAGCGCCCACTCTCCCCAGAGAAGGGGGACCCGAGCGCCCACTCCCCCGCGCCCCCCGAGAAGCTGGGGCAGGTTCCCAGGAGGCTGATGTGACTGTCTTCACAGCACCTGCCAAATAGGAGTCCAGGTTCATGAGATGCCAAGAGCCAGATGGATATTTTAAAGACCATACAGACCCCTTAAAGGGAGAAGTATCATGCTCTAGGCAAACATCATGTATTTGTTAGGACAACTTCACCTGAAGTAGCTCAAAATTATGTTCATATATTAATATACACACACACAGACAGACACACAGATGCACAAACACACAATGTCTCCCTACACCAGCTTCCTCCCTGATCAACTCGGAGGTGCTCGGACGGCAGGAGAGCCGACAGCACCCGCGCAGCGCCAGCTTACCTTGAACAGATCGGCGACTATTCCATAATCTGCCACTTGGAAGATGGGGGCCTCCGGGTCTTTGTTAATGGCCACAATTGTCTGTGAAACAGAAACGACAAGTTTGGTCTTTGTCAAGAAAACAGACCACGTACACGGGTAGTTCTATGGGCAGGACTTTCACAGTCCGACTTCACATACAGGCCACACGACAGTGTCACTCCCAGGCCCGGAGGAGCCCTCAGAGCGATGGCCGCATCTCCCAGGACCGGAGCCTGCAGCTCAGTTAGTCCAGGAAACTGCGGCCGGAGGAACAGGCCAGAGGAACGACAGGGTCAGAGACAGTAAACAAGGGTCCCCTCTGAGCCTCAAATCCAAAGTCACACGGACAAACCGTCCGAGCCGCAGGCTCCGATCTGGGTGGAGGCGTCTCTCTTCTGGGCACAGGGAGCCTGGTTCCCTGCTACTGGCGGAGGCGAGTGCAGTGAACGCGGGGTCACCATTTTCCTGGAGACCCTGCTGAGCATCTGACAGTTTAATCATCTGAGAGCTTTTCCATCCCTCGATAGCAAAGTTACTTTTTAAAAAATATATTTTTTAATTGATTTCAGAGAGGAAGGGAGAGGGAGAGAGAGAGAACCATGGATCAGCTGCCTCCTGCACGGCCCACACCGGGGATTGAGCCCATAACCTGAGCAAGTGCCCTTGACTGGAATCGAATCTGGGACCCTTCAGTCGACAGGCCAGCGCTCTATCCACTGAGCAACACCAGCTAGGGCTCAAAGTTACTTTTAAAGAAATAGCACAAAACTGTGGGCAAGGAACCACAGAAATATTTAAGAAAAAAATATTTGGGCTGGTTAGTTTTCAGATTACTAAAAGAATATTCCTGAATTATCAACTATACATACTAGTAACTATGATAAAACCTTGCTTACACCCTAGAGCAGCCGTGGGCAAACTACAGCCTGCGGGCCGGATCCGGCCCGTTTGAAATGAATAAAACTAAAAAAAAAAAAAGACCGTACCCTTTTATGTAATGATGTTTACTTTGAATTTATATTAGTTCACACAAACACTCCATCCATGCTTTTGTTCCGGCCTCCGGTCCAGTTTAAGAACCCATTGTGGCCCTCGAGTCAGAAAGTTTGCCCACCCCTGCCCTAGAGCTTTCTTTTTAGTCCTTAAAAATCCGTGCTCTTCTTCCTTACAGAGTTTTAAAAGCAGATTGTATTCAACCACATCAATATGCATACTGTTCAGAAGTGCTTTCATTACATTGATTCGCTTGATATAATAACATCTCATATTCTTTCACCTAACTCACAATGCTCATTGGAACTGCAGCTATCAGATTTATGAAAGCAGCTATCGGATTTAAGCCAATCACGCCCAAGTCCTGTTTCAGAGCTTAACCAAAAGGACCACCAGACTGTGTGTCTCCCACACCAGACAGTGCTGACAGGGGCTGTGTCTTTCTCAGCTCAGCATCCCCAGCAGGCAGAGCAAGTACGTGCTGAGTAAACATCTGCCGACTGCGTGGACAGACGAAGTCCTGGCTCAGGTTTATTCCTGTGGGTTGCTCCCTTGTTGCTTGGGCGAGTACTATCCAGTCTAGTCCATCTCTCACCCAATCCAGCCCTGCTGGCCTGGAGCGAGCACTGTCACCAGGGTCATCTTGGCGGGCAGTCTTTTATTTTCGAGAAGCAGGATTCTGGGTATGTCTGAACTGGCCCAGCTAAAAATATGTGTCATGGTTGCTGGTGTTGGAGTGTTTTCTCCCTCTAATGCAGCAGTAACATGTTCCGCGTTGGCACTGCTGTTTTCAGAACTCAGTGAAGAACCTGCCACCCGACTGTAAAATCTGACTGGTTTTGAGGCGATTCATTTAGAGGTTACAGAAGGTAGTGCGTGTATCCTTTCACGGCAGAAGTTAAACCTGTTAAAAGTTTCATTACCTTTTATGTCAAACTTCCATCTGAACGGATAAAAGCAGGGGTGTCAGAAGCATCTCTGACTTCATGAAAGACTAAGTCCATCATTCGAACTGCACACCGTTATGATGGCTCAGTGTGCCGTGTTCGGAAAGATGTTCACAGAGCCGCTGGACAGGACTCCAGACATGTCCAAGCAGCAAGTTAAAATCAGTGTTCCCTCTGAGCACTGTGTTTTTTAAAATTACTGCAGTGTCAAGACACTCCGACTCACAAAGTGTCCGTCACACGTTACCAACAACCCAAGAAGAGGGGCCTTTCTAATGTTGGGGGGACCAGGGTGAAGCGGACAGAGAACGAGTTGTTTTCACCCACGTCTTCTACCCACAGACTCAGAGCTGAAAGGGGCCTCCACACGGGCACCGGGCAGGCCAGGAGCTGAGGTCACAGGACAGCTGGCGCTGGCGCTGGAGCTGGACTCGGGTCAGGCCTTTCTCCAGGCACAGCACTGCCCCGCCTACATCCTCAGGCCCCACATCTACATGAACGGCTGGACTCCACGCACTGAGATCAATTTTATAAACAGGAAAGTTTATCCACTGAGCAGCACTGCTGTTGTGTCATTACCTTGCTGTCTTTCATCCCAGCTAAATGCTGGATGGCTCCAGATATCCCTACAGCGATATACAGTTCCTGAAAGAAGAGAGGCGCATCATTAATATGTATTTATGTTATATAAAAGGACATTCATTACATTGTTAATCAAAATACACTTACTACATCTCACATGCAGGACAACCAGGCCAACGAGTTCTACTGTAAAGACGCTGCCGCACTAGCCCTCTCCTAGCACATTCGCAAAGCAGCATCGGAACGGGTCACAGTTCTGCGAGTCCTTCCGACACACACGTCCACATTAGACTCAACAGGTCTTCAAAGCCTCGCCAGCCCTAGCTGTTTGGCTCAGTGGATAGAGCGTCAGCCTGCAGACTGAAGGGTCCCGGGTTCGATTCTGGTCAAGGGCACATGCCCGGGTTGTGGGCTTGATCCCCAGTAGGGGATGTACGGGGAGCAGCCAATCAATGATTCTCTCTCATCATGGATGTTTCTGTCCCTTCCCCTCTGAAATCAATAAAAACATATATTTTTTAAAAGCCTCTCCATGTGCATCATAAAATACTAATAACATTGTTGCTTCATTCCAACAGTAAATGTCCATATAAATGTAATATAAATGCAATTTTCTTTAAACCCCCAGGAAGTGAATGCTGTTTGTTGACGTTAACCATGTCCCGGAGGAAGTAACAGATTCTGGGCCAAACCAACCCAGACAGGTGTCTCAGGGCCTCTCCTCCTTTCTCACCAGCAGCACAGACAGGCGGACAGGCCCACGACCACAGGACCTTCCTGACTGTCTGCAAACAAGGGTTTCTGAATAAACAAAAGCGTGAGAACAACAGCTGAGCTGAGCCCTGGGCCTGGCTGCTTTCTGAGGTTGGTGGCTCTCAGGCAGAAAGGAGGCAGTCACTGGTAGAGAATGTTGTCGGCTGCCTTCCCGTGGCTCAGGGGCATTTCTGCGCGTCAATAACATCACCACCACCACGCACCAAACCCCCACAGGAGGCCACGGAGAACTCTATGTGGACAAGGCCACCTGCCCCGAGGCACTTTCCTCTGAATCAGATAGTGAGTAAGGAAGAGAATTGGGAGACCATGAGAGGCGTGTTGAGGGGAGAACAGTAATTAAGGGCCAAAGAGTGGTGAGAGGAAGAAGGGAGCAGGCACAGAGGAAGGCGGGTGGTCCTGGTGAGATGGAAGCCCCAGCGGCCCCAGGAAGGAGGGAACCCAGAGGGCGAGCCCAGGCCAACCAAACAGCTGCAGCAGCACAGCTGGCCGTTCTCAGCTCGAGAACAGGACGGGGGAGGAGTAAAGCCCAGCCAGCGGGAGGACGGGTTACTCTGTGATGGAGACAGCGCTTCATGGCACACAAGGGCCGGCAGGAAAAGGCACAAACCCCTCCTCCTGTCAGAACTGGACAGACGGTAGCTGCAGACTCGCCCACAGAACGGGCTGAGACGAAGCTGCCGCGTCAGGTGGTTCCCCAGAGGCTGCAAGAGCACCCTGCGCTGTGGCTACGAGCCAGGCTCTGGAATCTCGCTGCCCACGTGTCAACCCCAGCCCAGCCTGACAGACAGTGACCGTGGGCCAGTTCTCTAGCCTCTGGGGCCCAGATTGCTGGTCTGAAGAACCTCAGTTATGCGAACCCTCTTCACAGGTGTCTGTGAGGCTTGTCCTTAGCTTAGGGCCCAGCTTCCCGAGACCCCACGGCCACGCGAGTTAAGGTGCGGTTCCCTCAGTGCACAGGGGGCCGCGGAGCGCCGTGCAGAGCTGAGCAGCGTGGACACGGACGGACTCTGGAGGGAAGTGTGATTCCCATCAGTCATTGCACATCTTCATCTTTATGACAGTAATTTCCAACAGATGGCAGTCAAGTCACTGGAGAATGGGGTCCTTCCCCGATTCATTGAGACAAGCTGTGTGACCAGCAGACTGCCCGCAGCCAGAACCCCGTGGTGCCAACACTGCCTTTCCCAAGCGCCCATATGAGGGAGGAGCTGAGAAGCAATGCTCGCTGCGGTTTCCTGTGTCCACATCGTCCTGTACCTTCCAGGTGGGAAAAGACACCCACCTCACGCTCACAGGCTGACCACAAGGTTCAATAAGAGGGTAACAACCTACGAACAGTTCAGGAGACACTCGCGTGTGACGGAGCGCGGGCCTCTCGCGCGGCCCCTGGCCTGGGAAGCGCAAAGGCCGAGAGGCAGGAAGCCGACACCCGCTCTAGTCACCTCTGCCCACAGGCCCCCACGTGTGCAGCCGGTGCCGGCCGTGCTGCTGCCACAGGCCTTGGGCCCAGAAGCTTTTACAAGCTGGTTTCACTGGCCCCGGCTGAGGACAAGCCCACGTGGCTGAGAAACAGGAAGACGCCGGACTGAAACGTGAGTCCTGTCGGAGCAGGCGTGTGGCCGCGGGTCTGACACCCTTGTGTTGGAGAAATCCACCAACGGGGAGCCACGGCAGTGTCCTCTGGCAGGCGACGTGGCTGGGTGCGCTCTTCAGAAGAGAGTCCTGGCTTCACTCCTGCTCCGCCCTGACCGTGTGCAGGACACCCGCCCGCCGGGAGCCAGGGCGGGAGCGAGGGGCACGCGGCCGTCCACCTGCACATGCAACCTCTGCCCACTCGGCTGACAAACCCAGAGACGTGCGAGGTAACGTGAGCCACATGTTTAATTCTAACTGTCCTGTAGCCGCATCAACGTAAAAAGAAGCAGGTGAAACTAGTTTAATGAATTCCTGTCCAGACCACCACATCCTGATGGGAACGTGCTGGACAGGAGCTGAGGAGGAGCCTCCGGGTCAGCCCTGCCGGTGCCTGTGGGGCCTGTGGGCGGGAGGGGAGGAGACAGCGCCTCGAGCCGCGGTGCCCGTGCTGGTCAGAACAAGACCGGCCACGGGGCCACGGGATGTTCAACTCTGAGAACAGGAGCAGCAGGACTGACCACGGCAGTCACAGCCTCAGGGCGTCTGGACCATCACAGAAAACCAAAGCAGCTGAGCACTCCCGGTCCAATACAGCACATGCACACTCTGAAAAGAAACTATCCAGTTTTTTTCTCTAGTAGGTTGTGTTTTTTCTTAAAACTCTAGAAGAACCTGAAAAAAATATATCCTTAAAAACTCACACTTCTCAAAAAAAAGGGGGGGGGGGCACCTAAATAATCTGAGTTAATAAATTAAAAATTTTAAATACCTGGAACAAAATACCAAAAAGAGAGAGCACAGCGGTCCCCCTTGCACAGTTTCGGTTACCCATGAGCAACTGCAGTCCGGAAACATTAAATGAAAAATTCCAGAAATGAACAAGTTTTTCCAGATTTTAAAAATTAAAGTGTAGCTGACGTACGATATTACATCAGCTTCAGGTGTGCGACATCGTGATTCCACATCTCTGAGCCTCACAATGTGGTCGCCACGGCAACCCTGCTAACCTCCATCACCACAGCCACTGCGTATTAGTGACCACACTTTACATCCCCGTAACTTACTTCCTTTATAGCTGGAAAGCCGAACCTCTTAATCCCCTTCACCTTCATTCACACGTGCTGAGTGCCGTGATGACATTTCACGCTGTTTCCAAAACATCTTCAGAGGATGTGATGTTTCTGACAATCACACACACTTATCTATTCAAGTAAAGTTCTCATCGCAGTAGCCCCTTACCAGTATTTTCTCAGTATTAATAAGAACTCCACTTGTAGAGTTATCTTTATAAGGTAACTTACTCAATTCCTACCCTAATACCATATATTTCAAGTGAATAAAGGGATTCATTTATTAATTTCTTACTGTGCCTAATTTATCAATTTTATCATAGGAATGTACGTACAGGGAAAAAACTGTACAGGGTGGGGCAAAGGTAGGTTTACAGTTGTGAGTACATGAAACACAGTTATTTATTACTATTTTTATCTTCATCTGAGGATATAGTTATTGATTTTAGAGAGAAGAGGAGGGGAGAGAGAGACAAACATCGATTGGTTGCCTCCCGTATGAACCACGACCGGGGATCAAACCCATAACCTTTTGGGGGTACAGGACGACACCCCAACCCAGACAGCCAGGGCACAGAGTTTATTCTTGTATTACATTAATTACGAGAGGCCCAGTGCACAAAATTTGTGCACTAGGGGTGGGGGTGGGGGTCCCTCAGCCCAGCCTGCGCCCTCTCGCAGTCCGGGAGCCCTCAGAGGATGTCTGACAGACGGCTTAGGCCCGCTCCCCGGCAGTCGGACATCTTTAGCCACGGCCGCTGCACTCACCAGCTGTGAGCCCGGCTCAGAGCTTCTCGCTGAGCGGTGCTTCCCCTGTGGGGGCGCACTGACCACCAGGGGCAGCTCCTGCATTGAGCGTCTGCCCCCTGGAGGTCAGTGCACGTCACAGCGACTGGTCGTTCTGACGTTCAGTCGATCTGCATATTAGCCTTTTATTACATAGGATAGGATTGTATTACTTTCCATATGAACCACTGTAAACCTACTTCTGTCCCATATACATAGGGTTTGGCACCACACTGGGGGTCCTGGAAAGTACACTCTGTGGATAAAGGATGACGACCATGTAACAGGAAATGTGGGATGCACTTACCAGTAATACTTAGGATGACAGAAAATTAGTGAGCTAAGATCTCAGCTCAAGAAAGTTGAAAATGAGCAAGTGTAAGAAACCATTTGTTCAGTCACTAATATCTATCTATATAAAAGCCTAGGCGACCATCGACGGGTAGCTACGACGCGCACTGACCACCAGGGGGCAGCTGCTCCGACTGGTAGCTACGACGCGCACTGACCACCAGGGGGCAGACACTCAATGCAGGAGCTGCCGAGCTACAGTCACTTGGCAGCTGCGGTTCTCGGGTGACGCACTCAGAACCAGAGAGGAGGGAGCCCGATTCCGGGGTGCGTCACCCGAGACCCGCCCTCTCGCACTCCGGGACCCCTCAGGGGATGTCAGAGAGCCCGTCTCAGCCCGATCCCCGCAGGCCAGGCCCAGGGACCCCACGGGTGCACAAATCGGTGCATCGGGCCTCTAGTAACTCAATAAATAAGGTGAGAGAGAAGGGTTCAGGTCCTGACTCTTCCACTTACCATCTATGTTCTTGGGAG